ATAAGAATTCACAACAAAAACAACAAACTAAGAAGCTAGAAAGAATTCTGGAAGGTATTCTGTGAAAGGGGATGCTGACTTTGAAGTTCTTGATGTTGGTGTAAATTGAGAAAGTTTCTAAGCAACAGATAATACGAGGTGAGGATGCGGCATGTGTAAATGAAAACCAAAAGGCGTGATTGATTTATAGAAAGAAAGGTCCACAACACAGCCCTAGAGGCTCCTCCTGGACCAAACCTGAACGCACTCCCAAGGGATCTGTGTGTGGCTTTCATTCTCGCACTGGCCAACAGTTAAGTCTCTTCCTGGGATGTTACCATGTCTTTCCTACACCCCAAGTAGCACAGTCTTCTCAAAATGCTGCTCAAGGCAACTCTGAGGAGTTGTACAGAGATATGTCATAACTAATTACCTGAAAAAGCACAGAATAACTTGCTGCAAGATACTCAGAGAACCAAGACCAAAACCCTAGAGCCAATGCTGGATGCTTCATGTAGGATAATAACTAAAAAAAATATTTCCTATGGTTCTCTATAAGGGACCCTGCTGCATCTCCATACAATAGGCTTGGTACCTAGGAGGCACCTGATAAGGTGTTGTTTAATAATTAATTAACTAATTAAGAACAAGAACTCGGTGAGGCCAATCTCATGGAGGTTTTAGGGGGAGAGGATTGTGGTTTAGCTGCCGTCCTCTAACGTCAGATGTGCTGAGTCTGGCGCATGTGTATCTGACACTTCTACCTGCCATCTTCATCCACAGATCATCCGCCTGCAGCAATTACTCAATGGCTAATTTCTCCCAAACATGAGTCATAGGAAGACAGACTAAACGTTGTTGTTGTCTATAGAAACTGACTCTGGGATCAAACGCTAGGGGAAATATGGACGACATGGTCCATTCAGTTCTCTCTGAGACTGTCCACTGTTTATTATTTTATCTCCAATCTCCATATTCCATCAATTATTGAAGGGCCTCTGTCCAAAGCCATCCTTGTGGCTCACGGGGGGATGGAGGTCTGGGAACGGCTGGAGTCCCCCAGCCAAGGAGAAAGTGATGCATAGAAAGAGAGATCTGCCTGGGTACTCAACACAGGCATTAGGGGACCCTGGAAAAGAGAAGAGTATGGGCAGCTAATAGAAAGTCAATAACTGTATCAACAGCAACACCAGTAGCTACAGTTCACTTAGCACGTGTTGCTGGATGGAACTGATCCAGCTGTAAACTTACATGGACCTCCCTATTTCATCCTCTATCAACCCTACAATGGCAGGAACAGTCTCTCCTCTCCTGCGAAGGCAACCGTGCCTGCAGAGGTGAAGTCTGCTACCCAGGGCAGTCTGAGATAGAGCAGCAGGAGCCAATCTTACCTGCCCTGTAGTCTGTGTCTTAAAAGACCGTAACAGTTCTGTGGATTAACCCTCTAACTCATCACCCACTCTCGCTCAATGTTGGCAATCCATAAGGAGCTGACTGGCTCAATCTGGACTTGGGGATGTCCATGATCCCTCCATGGTCCAAGCACAGCCCCCACCCAACCCCAGGCATGATCATGTATTCATGTCCCAATAAACGTCTATTTAGCTGTGTGGAGAGGAGATTAGAGTTCTTCATAACCTATACTCCTTACTTGCTGGGAGGGGTTTTAGAAAATATTAGGAAGTGATGGGGAAAAAAATAACAAATCAATAAAAGGAAATAGATGAAATATAAGGGCATCCTTAGTGAATGCTCCTATGTGACTATCTTGATGTTGGATCCTTCCAAAGGTCACCCAAGGCTCTACAAAGGTAGTCATGGAGGGTCTGTGGAAATTTTTTTTTCCAATTGTTCAAAAAATAAAAGTGGAAGCTATCCATGGACATAGGCTGCATGACGCATTTTTGGTTGAAATTTTAGTAACAAACTGTATTTCATACTGGATACTTCATGAAGAACAGAGGTTTAGGTGGACAGACAGGGCTTCAATTGGTGACGATGGGAAAAATAAATTCTTCCTTACTAAATGCAGTTTGCTAGGTGATGGCCTAAAAAAAGATGAGGATCTCTGGATGTGAGGGAGGATTGCAGAATGTGATCTTAACATAGCAGTTTAGGGAGTGATTGGCTTTAAATGCGTCCTGTATTTCTTCTTTTGCTGGGAGCCTTCTCTAAACACCCAGGGTGGGCTGAGACCCTCCCTGGTGCTCACTCAACACCCTGCCTTATCACTGATCACATTCATTGGAACTGTTAGCTTCTGTGGTGGCGCCTGCACCTGACCGTAAGAAACTCTTCCAAAGATGCCATGTGTCTCAGCATCCTTAGTGCAAGACAGTGCTTGGAGCTGAGAGAAGCAGCATTAAGCTGAACTGAACTGGAGGAAAGACATTAGTCAAATCTGGAGGCTCTTCCCTTAGAGGACTTTGAAGACACACAGCTATAGGAAATCTACACTATCTCTGGGACCCCATGAATCCTGATAATGTCACTTCCTGGAAATGGAAGTGAGTTTCCAACTTCTCTGCTACTTGTTTCCACGCTCACAGATCAGGGCTCTCTCTACTCCAGCCAGTGTCTGCTCTGTGTCCTGCTCTGGTCTTCTTCTCTCCAAAATGATCTCCCCTGATGCCCTACAGACTCTTACAACCTGAGCCAATGAAGATGCTCAGTTCACACTTTTTCATTTGGTGCCAAAGCACTCCAGGCAGTTTGTAATCCAGCAAAACACTCACACATCTAGCTGAATTTCCTCCTTTTTGACCTGTACTCTACCCTTATGGACCCTGCAGATATGGATTCCGCCCCCCACCCCAAGCCCTTCCTCATTTCCTACTCCTCCCATCTGGAGAATTGTATCTTCCTGCTAAGTGTGGTTTCGGAATTCCAGCCATAATATTGTCAGCAAAGAGGCACCATCTACCATTGTAACCAAAATGATTAGGAAGATCACTGAAATATTAAAATCAAATCATGGTCGAAGCAGTCACAAACTATGAACAGGTTCTACCGCTTGGAGATGCCTGGGCCTCTCCCTGGTGAATGTGGCATTAATTAGTTATGCATGGTTATTTCCAGCAAAGAGCAAGTTCTTTATAAGTTAGCAAATTTCAATTTTACAGCAGGTGTGTTATTCTGAGGTTTTTATGAATTGTTCATGTGAGAATAAGCCATATAATTTTATTTTTTTCTGTTTAATATAGTAGTGAGATACCAAGGGGAAGTAGATGCAAAAGCTACAATTACCATCTACTAAGGTAAGATAATGATTTTCAGACAAACTAATGTGATGTAAACATGTAATTTTGCATTTATGGCTTATGAATCTTGCTTTAGAAATTACATGAGCCTAGAGAGTAACTTTAACTTTTTTTATTCTTCATAACTCTTTATGTGGTCTTGGGAATAATAAATCTTTGTTTCTGCTTTTCTGGATCTATAAAATGGGCTCAGTCCTGTCGCTGAAGATACGGATTATACTATCAATGATTCCTTACAACACACGGTCAGATATAGAAGACTTTGGACCTGCAGATGCATTACTTTGGAGGGTCGGGAGAATTTAGGGCCAGTTTATCCTTGGTTCATTATTATCCTCCACCTTCTTGGTAAAAATAAACATTTTCTTTGCAGCAGTATTGACCGAAATCTAACGTCAACACAAGAAATGATGGACATTGTCCTATTTCTCTGCTTTTACTTTCTCTTCCTGATGATTTCACTGAGTTTCATTTCTTAATTTTCTTAACTTGGTTTCATTGCATTTTTTTAAACACTTCAAAGGCTCTACTTTGGAAGGGGTGAGATGCGAATAAATAATGAACAAAGAGTATTTCCCTTTGTCATCAGCATAATAGAGATGATCTAGGCTAATTCTATAAGCTGCAGAGCTAAAGAGAATGCATTTAACCCTTTTCACATCATCCTGAATATAGCCAGATTCTTTCTGCAGACCAGAAAGCCAGTCACTGGCCAGAGAATCCTCATGCCAGATTGTGGTGGGCATAGCCGAAAGTTTTCCTTAAAGAAGTGCCACTGGCATTTGGGGCTGGATAACTTTTGGGTCTTGGGGGAGGGGGCAGGGGGCTGTTCTGTGCAGGGAAGGATGTGTGGCAGCTTCCTTGGCCTCTAACCACGAGGTACCTTCATACCTCCCTGCTCCAGCTGTGACAACTCAAATCGTCTCCAGACATTCCAAATGTCCTGTGAGGACCACTACCTTAGAGACTTCCCTCTCTCTCTCTGATTCCAGGGGAAGGGGTCAGAATCTTCTAGGAGAATTCCTAACAGGAAGGCAGAAAGGGTAGCATTTCAAGACTGCAGCCTATCACAACAGTATCAATTCTTTTTTTTTTTTTTGAGCATTCACCATCATTCCTTGATATTCACTTGGCAATAACAAAGCCCAGGCACAAAAGGACCAAACGGGCCACCGGGGACAAATTATTCTGCATTTTCCTCCACGAAGGTAAAGGAAGGCCAAGGCCATTTTGGGAAATCCAGCTAAACGAGTCTTAATTCGGATTTCATTGAACTTGAAGAGTTTGCATGGGACTCCACACCTAATTTTCTCTTCTGGGCCAAAGGTGCATACACCCTGAAGCGTTAAGATGTCTCTGGGGAGGGCAGCAAGACCACCCCAGTGATTTTTACGTTTGAAAACCTCCCGTCCCTCCGCAGAGGGGATTCAAGGGGCACATGTGATCCAACCTCCTTAATCACCAGATGTTTGCAATCATCAGAAAGACGTCTTTGGCTGTAACCGTTTCTCTGTTCTCCAGCATTCAGTCTCAAAGAGAATTTCCATAACAACATGTGACATGTAGAATGCTTAAAGGCACCAACCATGACAAGACAAATTACACTCATTTTTCAAGACTCTGCAAGGTGCGGCTCGGCAAGCGCGCGGGCTGCATGCTGGGCGGTTCCGGCGGGGCGGTCAAGGCCGGCATGCGCTCGCTCGCTCGCTCGCGGCAGGGCCGGCGCGGGAGGGCCCCTGCGGGGGTCGCTGCCCCACTTACCCGCCGTTAGGCCGGGATCGGGGGGCGGGGG